TAGTTTTATAGATAATATATGTATATGATATGAATATAGATGTAGAGATAGAGATATACATACATACATAAAATAGTATAATGTGAGTATATAAGATGCAAAGAAATAAGGACCAAGATGAATATTTGGGGAGCAGCTACATGTAAGAGATGGGAAAAGATTATTTTATACACTCAAAGATATATATTGAGATGTAGCTCAATAGGTAGGAGGGAAAAAAGTAGTGACACAAAATCCAAAGGAGGAAAGAGTATTTACAAAAGGAGAGAATGATGCATCAAAAAGAATAAAATACCTAGGAATAACTTTAACAAAGGAGGTGAAAGATCTGTACACTGATACTATAAGACATTAATAAAAGAAACTGAAAGAGATTCAAATAATTGGAAAGATAGTCCATGCTCATGGATTGGAAGAATTAATATTGTTAAGATGTCCACACTAGGGGCGCCTGGGTGGCTCAGTTGTTAAGCGTCTGCCTTCAGCTCAGGTCATGATCCTGGGATCGAGCCCCGCATCGGGCTCCCTGCTCGGCGGGAGGCCTGCTTCTTCCTCTTCCACCCCTCTGCTTGTGTTCCCTCTCTCGCTGTGTCTCTCTCTGTCAAATAAATAAATAAATAAATCTTTAAAAAAAAAGATGTCCACACTATCCAAAGCAATCTTGATTCAATGCAGCTCCTATCAAAATTCCAACAGCATTTTTCACAAAAACAGAACAAACAATCCTAAAATTTGTATGGAACCACAGAAGACCCAAAGAGCCAAAGCAATCCTGAAAAAGGGCAGAGCTGGAGGCATCACACTCCCTGATTCCAAACTATATTACAAAGCTATAGTAACCAAAACAGTATGGTACTGGCATAAAAACACATACACTGATAAATGGAACAAATGAGGAGCCCACAAATAAATTCATGAATATATGGTCAATTAATTTACAACAAAGGAGCCAAGAATATAGTGTGGAAAGGACGTCTCTTTGATAAACAGTGTTGGGAAAACTGGTTAGCCATGAGCAAAAGCATCAAACTAGACTGTTATCTCCAACATGGACAAAAAATTAACTCAAAATGGATTAAAGACTTGAGTAAGACGTGAAACTGTAAAACTCTTAGAAGAAAAATAGGTGGTAAGTTCCCAGACATTGGTCTTGGCAATTATTTTTTGGATTTGACACCAGAAGCCAAGGCAATTCATAAAAGCAAAAATACACAAGCTTTGACATCAAACAAAAGGTTCTGCACAGCCAAGGAAACCATCAACAAAATGAAAAGGCAACCTACTGAATATAAGAAAATATCTGCAAATCATGTATTACAACTCAATAGTGAAAAAACAATCCAATTTAAAAATGAGTAAAAGACCTGAAGAGGCATTTTTCAAAGACATACAGATGACCATCAGGTACATGGGAATGTGCTCAACATCACTAATTATCAAGAAAATGCAAATTCGAATGCAATGAGTTATCCACTCATACGGGTTAGAATGGCTATTAGCAGAAAGGTAAAAGATAACAAGAGTTGGGGGGCACCTGGGTGGCTCAGTCATTAAGCAGCTGCCTTCGGCTCAGGTCATGATCCCAGGGTCCTGGGATTGAGCCCCACATCGGGCTCCCTGCTCTGTGGGAGGCCTGCTTTTCCCTCTCCCACTCCCCCTGCTTGTGTTCCCTCTCTCGCTGTGTCTCTCTCTGTCAAACAAATAAATAAAATCTTTAAAAAAAAAAAAAAGATAAGAGTTGGTAGAAATGTGGGGAAAAGCAAACCTTTGTGAATTATTGGTGGAAATAAATGTAAATTGGTACAGTCACTATGGAAAGGAGTATAGAAGTACCTCAAAAAATTAAAAATATAACTACCATATGATCCAGCAATATTAACCATTTGGATTTTCTCAATTGTGAAATGCTTGTTTTTCTACATGGAAGTCTAATTTTTTTGGCTTTTTAGTTCTTTATAATACAATTCTGGATGAGTCCATCAATTATATATATTGTGAACATATACTCTGTGACTTTTGCTCTTAATGATATCTTTTCATGATTAGACGTTCTTAATTTTAATGCAGATTTATCAATCTTTCTCACTATAATTATTTTAAACATAGTTACACATTTAAGCAGTATTTTCCACCCCAGACAGATTAAGATACTTTCCTATATTATCTAGTAAAATCTTTAGTTTTACCTTTCATATTTACATCTCTAATTCCCCTGGAATTCATTTTGTGTAGAGTGTGAAAAAGAGATTAGATTTTTCTTTTTAAAGAAAAATATACCTATTTTTCTCAGTATCATTTATCGAATAGACTGTCTTCACTGTTTTAAAGTGCCACTTTTGTCTGTTTATCGGTTTTCAATTATGATCCACTAATTTATTTGTGTTCAGTGCACCAAGACTTCCAATATCTCGCTGTCCTGATACTATAGTTTTATAATAAACCTTGTTTCTGATAGAGCAAGTTCTCTCACCTCTTCAACTGATTGGTCATATCACACAAAGTGTTCTTTGTATATCCATATACATTCTGGAAACAATTTGTCATGTTACACACACACACACACACACACACACAACTTGTATTTTGATTGGCTTGGATTTCTATCAATTTCCCACACCTGGTAATTTCCATATTTTTAACCTCAGTTATACACTAAAATTATTTTTAAGTTGTATTTCATATATGTTTGATATTTGTTAGGACACCCACTCTGACTGTATTTAGTCATGTTGCCCAAAAGTCCTTAGTTGGAATTTTAAGAACAGTGGCTGAGTTTTATTAAATGACCTTATAGAATCTATTGATAAATCATGTTTTTTTCTCCTATAAATTGTCAATAAGTCATATTCGTAAAGTTCCAAATATTGAACTATACTTGTAATCTTGAAAGAACCCTATTTGATGCAGTAAAATCCCTAAAACAATTCAAAAGACTCTTTAGCATTAATATTGGATCCATCTGGGAACCTGATTCCCATTTTGGCTCCCTAATGGTGCAGAGTTGAGAAATCAACTTGAGTCAACTATTTGAGTCTAAGAAGGCTGAGATAATAGATGAGAATATATTCAGACTTAAGATTAATGTAATGCACCATTATCTTGTAATCATGCAGTATGTCACAGGACTGATTTTTCTTTCAGTCAAGAGAAGTGTGTTTCATTTACCAGGATCATTTTGTCAGTTTTAGACCTACTATGTTTATTAGTCATTCCAATGGTCATATATTGATTAGACTGTATTTTAATTGTACTTCTAGACTTAATTGTTCATTTATTTAGAATGATTGCTTCTATATTCATAATTGAAATTAATCAGTACTTTTCTTTCTTACAATCTTTTAAAATGTTGGTATAAAGCTTATGTTAACTTCATGAAATGAACTGGATAGCTGCCAATCTTTTTTAATTCTGCAAAGTACGACTATTACTATACATTAAATAGCCTTTAAATGCTGGAACTCAGCTTTAAAATCATTTGGAATTTGCATCTTTTTTAACAGTACATATTTACCTTTCTAACTTGTGCTATTTATTGGGCCATTAGAATTTTCTACTTCCTCTTGAGTCAACTTTGGCTTACTTTGCCTAGTCCTCCACATTTTCAAATTTGCTATGGAGTTAAACATTTTCTTAAGTCTCATACATGTGATTCTTTATTGATATGGTTCTATATTCAATATATCATGTATGAATTATATGGTATAACCCACAAATACAAGAATGGGTTAACATTATAAAATATATTAATATAATGAAACAGATTAAAGATCAATGAATAAAACATTTTCTCAATAGAGAACGTTAATTTTATATAATATCCATACACGATAAAGCATCTTAACAGGTAAAGAATATAAACAAACTTTTTAATTTGTTAATGGTGATATACCAAAAATACTAGATCTTAGAGCAGGTATCATTACTGAGAAAAACTAGAGGATTCCCTTTAAAGTTAAAATTAACTACCTGCTAATATTTTGCCAGTGTTCATCAAATACATTTCCAACTTCATGCCTTATCTCAGGTCATTTCCTCTCCCTAGAAACACCATACTTTTGGAGGGAATCAAAGCTCCATCTCCAATAAATTGATAAAAGCTGTGTAATCTCTGCCAGAAAAATGCATACATGCACTAAACACAAAATTTTATATAAACTATCATAGGATTCACTACTTCCATCCTGCAAAAGATTCCAGATTAAAAGCTTCTGTCCTGGAGCACCTGGGTGGCTCAGTCCATTAAGTGTCTGACTTCAGCTCGGGTCATGATCTCAGGGCCCTGGGATCAAGCCCCACATCAAGCTCCATGCTCAGCGGGGAGTCTGTTTCTCCCTCTTCCTATGCCCCCCCCCAACCCCTGCTCATGCTCTCCCTCTCTCAAATAAATAAAACTTTTTTAAAAATTGCTGTCCTACATATAGCTCAGTATACATAATGCTTAAAAATATTAATGGAGAAAGGAACAAGCAGATATATAGGCAAATATATGAGAGAAGTTGATTCAAACATTCATACTGACCTATGAAAATCTGTGTAAAGGAATTGTTTAAAACATGAAACACGCGTGCCTGGGTGGCTCAGGTGGTAGCATGTCCAACTCTTGATTTCAGCTTAGGTCATGATCTCAGGGTCATGGAACTGAGCCCTACATCGGGCTCCATGCTCAGCAGGGAGTCTACTTGAGATTCTCATTCTCCCTCTCCCTCCCTTCCCTCCCCACTATCTCTCTCTCTCTCTAAAATAAAGAAATAAATCTTTAGGGCTGCCTGGGTGGCTCAGTTGTTAAGTTTTGGCCTTCGGCTCAGGTCATGATCCCAGGGTCCTGGGATCGAGCCTTGCATCGGGCTCCCTGCTCAGCAGGAAGCCTGCTTCTCCCTCTCCCACTCCCCTGCTTGTGTTCCTGCTCTCACTGTGTCTCTCTCTGTCAAATAAATAAATAAAATCTTTAAAAAAAAAAAATAAATCTTTAAAAACAACAAAAAACATGAAACAAAATATACTTGAGTTTTAAGTATTTATTTACAAAGTTCTTACTAATACAACTGCTTTTAAAATATATCAATAAAGAGTGATTTACTATTTAAAAATGGCAAATATGTGGCATAGAAAAAATCTATATAGTCAGTTAAAGTATTAAAGCAGATGACTGAAAATTGTTAAATGACAGTTAAATGTTTGCAGTACTCCCTACACAGATAGGAAATAAAAATTCATTTGTTCATAGAAACTTGATTATTTTGTATCACTGACTATAAAAAAAAACTTATTGTGAAAATTAACATCAGGGTTTGAAAGATATTTTACAATAGCAAATAAATGTATTTTGATTTTACATTTAATTATGGGACCAAAATAAAAGGTAGACCATACACATATCTATGTATTTTATAGCAGATTAGTAAAACTGATGCCAATTTTAGAAGTATTTCATAAAGAGTGTAACAGTCTATACCACAATTTCCCCATGGTCTTACCCTTCAAAATAAAATTCCTCACACTATCAAACTAAATGAAGATTTGCTAGTGGCTAAAATCACCCAAAATATATGGCCCCTGAAAAAGTTACAAGTATACACCAATACCATGTTTGTCAAAATACACATTATTTTTTAATCTTTGTTCTTATCTCAATCTGCAAAAATATTTTGGAACCATCTCCTTTAACTATTATTCTTGTTAATAAGGGCAAATCTTTTAAAATCCACACTCTAGATCTTGACAACATTTGAGAATAAAATAAATTGCAACAGGAGCAGCTAAATAACTACTTCAAACAGCACATGTGAAACAAGTCCCCACTACTAACCAGAAATCTGTGCAGGGGTTTTATCTAGTACATTCTGTGATATCACTTAATTTCTTCACAAATTGAGATACACAAATAGGCATTTCCAAAAATTCATTCATGGACACTATACAGAGAGATTCACAGCAGTATTTGGCATCCACCAATAAAATTTATTTACTATTATCAAGTTGCAAAGCTACTAATATCATGAATAACTTAAATTATTGGTCTTTGAATGAAGGATTTGAGCAAAGAGAAAAATTACATCAAAATCAATATAATTTTTTACATGAATTAACTCAAATATCTAAGAGGTTAACCTTACTCTTTTAAGAAGAAAATCAAATGACATAGTTTTAGTGTTACCTATATTCTTTCCAGCTTTCACCAAGTGCTAATGACAAGTACCATTTAAGTCAGTTTCTTATTTGAGTATGAAGTGTTTATAAGTTGCCATAAATTAAGATTTTTTAAGTTTCATATCAAATGAGTTGTAGATCTGCTTAAAGTATGACTTCTTCTTTCAAAGAAGGAAGGCAAGCTGACAAGAGAGGGAGATGGGATACCCTGTAAAGATAAGACAAATACTTTTATATTTAAATTTTTCTTTTCAAAAATTTTAAAATAGTTTAGCATCATGCATATTATTTTACAAATTAACACAACAATTAATTTTAAAACATCTGAAAATTCTAAACTCTTTAAATAAAAGAATTTAAATTAGGGGAAGGGGATAGGAAGAAAACATAATTAAAACTATTTTAGCATTCTGAAAACAAAAAAACAAATGGACAGACTAGTTAACTACATATTAACTCAATGGGTTTACTGCTAATAGGGTATTTCTGTGTGATATTAAAGACTTTCAGGTTCTTTAAAAAAATTATAAATTAGTAAGTTTTTGAGGTAAAAAGACAAACTCTAGTGGTTTCTGAATCATAAAGCAAAATTAAGAGTAAAATTACTTCACGAAAAAAAATTCTCTAAAATTAAAGGTCATACATTCCTAGAGAGTTTCTGTGTTATGTGTGCAATCCATAGCAAAATAGCAGCAATTCTGATAAGAGATTATTAAGTTACTAAGCTATCTAAATTTATTGTTTCAGAGGTCAAAGTTAAGTATCATCAGAATTTTCAATAATAACAAAGGAACATGCACAAGAACACCAAAAACTGAAGAGCAGATGTAAATCAAAATGAATTATAAAGAAAGTTACTGCTTTATTTTAACATACATGAATGTCTAACTGTAACTAAACTTAGAGCCAACAAGGTAGCTGGCTGTAAGTTCTCATCAACAAGGTAGTAAAATGTAGTATTTAAAGAGCTAGGTTGGTAAAGTATTACCATTCAGGTGATAACAAAGATGATTTAAGTAGATAGTATAAAAGCTTACATTTTCTTCAAGTAAAACGTTTATGATTTGCCATATTAAAAAGCATGAATTTTATATAAATGCCATAAATCTAAGATTAAGAATCAGATTTGGAATAAAAATCTACTTTACATCAAAATTATTACTATTCTTTAAAACGATCATTTTCATAAACAGGAACATTTCTAATGGGATTGAATTTTTCTGGACTTAAGAATAAATTACCTAGTAAAAAATATCTTTATGTGTCAATACACAAAGAAACTCTATTAAGCCTAAATTGTTGTGAATTCAAAGCAGTTATAAAGTTTTGAATTTAAAAGTCCCCACCCACCTAATAACGATTCAGTGAAGAAAGAATGCTTTCTTTTTTCACAAATACAAATTCCAAATAGCTAATAAGCTCACATTAAACTTTCACGAGGCTTGTTTCCATTACTGGTTGGCATATCTCCTAATTCTTCACAAATGTCAAAGATGACTTGGATAGGACTTTTTTTGAAATTTGAAAAATCAATAGTTCCTTCTAGTATCTCTGAAAAACTAGCTCGTGAGGCAGAATGACGGATAGATCGAAACCAGGAGTTTTGAGAGCGCCCACCAGTAGAGTTTGAGCGCTGTACATAAACATGCTTAGTAAATCCAATTATATTGCTTGTGGAAACAGAATGGACAATCTGTTAGAACGGAAATAAGCAATTGAGAAGAGGACATGAATGTCTTTAAAGATATTTTAGGTACTTCTTATTTATATTATCTACATAAAAGTGACAAAACCATAAATAATTTTCTAAAAATTTTCTGTAAAATCAAATTACATTCATTTGAAAAGCAATGCTTATAATAGTTACATAGCTATATAGATGCAGGATATAAAGAAGAGACAGTACTTTGGCCTAACTGCATTTTGTCCATCTTAATTCATTTTCATTTATCAAATTTCTTGGCATATATTTATATTATCAAGCTCAACTTCCCTCCCATTGGAAGGTTAACCTTCCTCCAAAATTTGTATAAATACACTCATAGATTCAACTCTAAGTCTCTGAGTTAAGACTTAGACTTAACTGGCTTTTAAAAAGTAAGAGTTATGGAGTATTAAGTACCTTATCTATAAATTTTATATAATAAAAGGTAACCAGGCCACTCACTAGGAACTGTTCAAAGCATTTTGCATATATTAACTTATTTAATCCTTACAACTACTACTTTAAATTCATCTTACTGATAGTGAAATTGAAACAGAGAGATCTTTAATAACTTCCCAAAAGTCATACAGCTAGCAAATAGCAGAGCCAGGATTTGAACATGTGAGTTCCAGAGTTCATGCTCTTAACCACTATTCAAACTGCCTCTCATTAGATAATCACATTGTGTGTGTGTGTGTGTGTGTGTGTTTAGTCCTTATAGTAACACTATATGGTTAAGTACTATTAACCTCTTTTTTCCTCAGCTGTAAAAATGAGGATAAGAAGAGAATAAGAAACTTGCTGAAGGACACACAACTAAGAAGTAACAGTCACTTGCTTTTCTTAACCTTAGTAGGTTAGATCAATAATAATTTTACAAAGAACAGATGCATCACTCACATACTTAGAGACAGTAATAAATGTTAGAAATATCCCTAATATTAATTATCTAATAATTCTGGTATCACTAGAAATTTGAATTATTCAGGAAATATTTTAAAATATACACATATGAATTCAGAATCCATATCATCCTTCAGCTTCAGAGGTTATATTCTACTCATCACAGAAATAGTTTAAAAAAACAAAACAAAACAAAAAACCTCTATCTCAGCTATATTATTAGAGCCAATCTCCATAAACAGAACCATCATTATTTACATGTTTCTTTTCTTAGATTTTTGAATGTATCTCAATCTCAATAAAATTTCACATCAAACTATACACTAAGTATGTCTCTAGTTCATTAAGTGAAGTTTTTCTCAGTTACCTTTACCCAATAAAGAGGCTAAAAGTTTAGAGATTAAAAAAGAGAGTTATTAAGACTTTCATCTTCAAAAAGTTAACAAATTCCATACCAACTCCATAAATGTGAGTAAGTCATTTAGCCCATTAGATCAAAGTCACTTACTGCTAATGATGATGTGCTAGACAGACGACTCATCACATGCTTGTCATTGCTGGAAGGACTTCTTCCCTCCACTGAGCTTTGGGATGTCATAAGGGCCCTTCGCAGAGCTCTTTTTGGAGTTTTTGAGAAAGAGAATGCTCTTGTAACCTAGAGTTAAAAAGAGTCCCAATTAATTAAGCATACATAAATCTAATACAACTGATAAGAATGTAAACAATGCCAAATATACATGAAGTTTTCCTACAAATAGTATATGTCAGAATTAGAATTTCTTTGGACAAAACAATGAGAAGATGAAGTAGTACATTGTAGATAGACTATTCCATCCTGCAATCATAAAGCACTATAGCCCAAAGGGAGAAAGAAAGCAGGAGGAAAAAACCTGGCCTGGGAGATTAGAAACCTGGGTTTTTATTGGATTCTGCTAAAATTTAGTTGTGAAATCTTTAATCCAAGGCCACTTGAACCTCAATTTATTTATTAAAAAAGTGAAAGAGCTGATTTGAATCATTCAACATGTTTATCTAGTATACATCATACACATTAAATGCTGGAAGATACAAAGATGGTTAAAGTAGAAGGCCTCCCCTCAAAAGCAAAGAAAACAACAAAAAATTGTAGATGATGGCTGCAAATTTTGCTCAAACTATTAAAATTCTAGTTCTACTTTTAAGAAGCCCCATTATATGGGCACCTGGATGGCTTAGTCGGTTAAGATCTGAATCTTGATTTTGCCTCAGGTCTTAATCTCAGGGTCGTGAGTTCAAGCCCTATGTTGGGCTCCATGCTCCATTTAAATGAATAAGTAAATACCCCCATTACCAACATTCTTACATAGTCCTCAACTCTGATAAAGTAAGGGAAGTGATCTTCATCATTAGGAGACTGAAACATATTTATGGTCAGGAATAGATCCCAGGTCTCCCAATTCTGTCAGTGCCCTTTGCTGAAAAATATCTGAGGCAATATTTAAGATTAATGTACATATATCTACATCTAAACCACCACCAGTACATTTCTAGTGAAGCATGGGGCATAGAAGCATCACTATAACAAGAATGGGAGGGATAACAAGTTGTTATAATTACTGTGCGAAAGGATTTGCTGAACTAAAACTATTATCTCTATGGGCTGTTTCCTAGAACGAAGAAAACAGCTGTGTTAAACTATCCTTATGCTGGTGTTTATAGCAATATTTTAATATACTCTGAAAAATACATTTTGGAGATATGTTAAATAATAAGCTCACTAAGACTCACCTTTTTTGAAGTCTTTTTTATTGCTCTAGATGCTCTACTCAACGTACTGTCCATATCTTTAGTATTTACTTCAAAGGATTCTGGATCAGCACTGTAAATAAGATTCTCCTGTTGAAAAAATAATACTTTTTTATTATTTTTAAATAAATAAGGGTGCCTGGGTGGCTCAGTTGGCTAAGCAACTGCCTTCGGCTTAGGTCATGATCCCAGGGTCCTGGGATCGAGTCCCACATCGGGCTCCCGGCTCAGCGCGGAGCCTGCTTCTCCCTCTGACCCTCTCCCCTCTCATGCTGTTTCTCTCTCTCTCTCAAATAAATAAATAAATAAATAAAATCTTTAAAAAAATAAAATAAAATAACTAAGTAAAACAAAATAAAAATACACAACTGTTTCTAAAATCAAAGCTCTAATAAGCACATGGGAGTATATACAAATGAAGCTACTCAGGTTTTTTATATGCTTGACATAATTTCAACTCTGAAATATACTAATTTAAGGATGGCAAAAAAATTAGCATTCACTAAATGAAAAATTCATTGCAAGGACTATGGACACCAAAGCAACCGAAAAAAGAACTCAATATAAAATCTTTTTAACAACCCTAAAACCAACAAGTTAGAACCTTAGTGGACATAATGCTTAAGTATAAAGTCTGCTATAAAACCAAAACCAAGAAACAATTTCCTTGAGATAATCTCAAATTAAACTTAAGACTTTTTCCTTTTTTCTTTCTTCCTCTACCAACATCTAAATGGATTCTAAATTGGAGGTTCTGATCCTATGATCAAGAGCTCCTAGGAGTGGCAATGGATAAAAATAAAAGGTAAGCAACCTCCCTGAAATCATGTGCAAAACTGTGTGTGTGCATAAATGCAAAGGACAGTTTTCTGAGGAGTAGGCTCATAGTTTATGTTACATTCTAAAAGGAGTCAAAGATTTCAGATAGGCCAAGAACCACTGATCAAAATTAACCTTAAATGAGACAACTAATCTCCAAGTAATCCAAAATATCACTTACTCAAATTACATTTGGGCTTTTTGAAAAAAGCAAGTGAGAGACAAAATGTCTTTGCATACTCCTATAACCAATCTGCAACTCAAAATTTATAGATCTAGGTCATGAATCAGTAAGTTTCCCCACTAGTCTAGCACTATTAAGACTATCCTCCAGGGCACCTGGGTAGCTCAGTCGTTAAGCGTCTGCCTTCGGCTCAGGTCATGATCCCAGGGTCCTGGGATCGAGCCCCACATCGGGCTCCCTGCTCGGCGGGAAGCCTGCTTCTCTCTCTCCCACTCTCCCTGCTTGTGTTCCCTCTCTCACTGTTTCTCTCTGTCAAATAAATAAATAAAATCTTTAAAAAAAAAAAAAAAAGACTATCCTCCACCACTGTCATTCTGTGGCTAGAGAGAATTTATACAACCTTGTGAATATTGGTTTTTCTGAAAATGTTCTCATATGCAAAATGTAGAAAATATCTGTATACTTAACCCACAGGAGTCATGAAACAAGATAATGCACAGTAGTCCTTTGAAATAAAACGTTAAACCCCCTTGCAAACAAATAGTCTTAAATATTATATTCTACAATTATAAATGCTTGCTTTGGCTCTCTGACATTGACATCCACATAGACAGGCTTGGTTTTGCCAAAGCTGCTTAAAACAAGTCTGCCCTGCCTGCTCCAGACCCTCTCTTTCCACTTTGTCCACTTGCTGAAAGATTCAGTCACTTACCTAATCTTAATCAGGTAACAGTACTTGTAATCATCAGTAACTTTTTAAAATGTTATAATTTTTTTCCTGAGTCAAAAAACAAAAACAAAAACAAAAACAAAACACACACACACACTTCCATTATAGAAAATTTGAAAGAAAAATTACCCACAAATGTCCTGGCCACTTGCTATTTACATTTAAACGTATTTCTTACATATATTTTTATATGCATAAATGTTTTATTTTAACAAAATTAGAGTGGTTCTATTCAGTTTTATATCATTTTTCAATTAGCTGTGTATTATGGCTTTTTTCCATTATCGTTAGATACTCAAAGGAATTACTATTAATGAGCAGATGATAAAAGTCTGATTATATGAGAATTAATTTTATTATTTCATTATTTTTTAACACAAAGTGCCTCTGCTTTCTTCTCATTAAGAAATAAACATCATAACATCAAAAAAATAAAATACTTAGGAATAAACTTAAAGAGATGAAAGACATACACTGTAAACTACAAAATGTTGCTGAAAGGAATTAAAAAATACATGAATAAATGGAAAAACATCCTGTGTTCATGAATTGGAAGATTTAATATTAACACGTCAATAGTACCCAAAGCAATCTACAGATTCAATGAAATCCTTATCAAAATCCCAGTGACTTTTTTGCAAAGAAAAAAAAAATTCATTCCAAAATTCATATGGAATCACAAGTGACTCCAAATAGCCAAGACAATCCTGGAAAAAAGTACAAAGTTGGAAGTCTCAAACTTCTTGGTTTAAAAACCTACTACTAAGGGGCGCCTGGGTGGCTCAGTTGGTTGAGCATCTGACTTTTGATTTCAGCTCAGGTCATGATCTTGGGGTCATAGGATTGAGCCCCCCGTCGGGCTCCTCCCTCAGTGGGGAGGCTGCTGGAGAGTCTCTCTCTCCCTCTCCCTCTGCCCCTCTTCCCACCCCCTCACACACTCTCTCTCTCTCTCTCTAAAATAAATGATTCTTAAAAAAAAAAAAAAAAAAAAAAACACCTACTACTATAATCAAAATGGTACTGTACTGGCATAAGATACAGAATAGAAATGGAATGAAACAGAAGAGAGAGCCTAGAAATAAAGCCTCATATAATATGGTCAAATGATTTGACAAGGGCGTCAAGACTATTCAATAGGAAAAGGAGGACAGTCTTTTCAACAAATGGTGCTAAGAAAACTAGATATCCACAAGCAAAAGAATAAAGTTGGATCCTTACCTTACAGCACACACAAAAATTAACTCAAAATGGATCAAAGATCTAAATATAAGAGCTAAAAACTATATAACTCTTAGAAGACAAAGAAAACATAGGTTGAAAGCCTCAAGACACTAGATTTAACAGGGCTATTTTAGATATAACACCAGAGACAGAGGCAACAAAAGAAAAACAGGAAAACTAGATGTCACAAAAATTGGTAAATGTTGTGCAAAAGACACTATCAATAAAATAGGTAGCAATCCACAGAATGGGAGAAAATATAAATCATTTATCTGATATATCTGAGAAGGGATTAATATCCAGAATATATAGAGAATGCCTAAAACTCAACATCAAAAAAAAAAAAAAAAATAACGGATTCAACATTCACCACCTACACCTACATTTTCTTACAGGTTTTTGAAATGGTTTCACTTTTTTTTTTTTTTTTTAAGATTTTATTTATTTTTTTGACAGAGAGAGACATAGCAAGAGCAGGAACACAAGCAGGGGGAGTGGGAGAGGGAGAAGCAGGCTTCCCGCAGAGCAGGGAGCCCGATGTGGGACTCGATCCCAGGACCCTGGGATCATGACCTGAGCTGAAGGCAGACGCTTAACGACTGAGCCACCCAGGCGCCCTGAAATGGTTTCACTTTTAACTCGCATATCTACCTATAAACTTATATGGATATAAGGTTAGGATATACATCTAATTTTTCCTATGTATTTAACCAACTATCGTAGCACCATATGTTAACAATATTATTAAATTGTTAAAGTACTATATTTATCATACAATAAAGTCTTATTTCAAGAACATTTATTCTTTTCTTTCTTTTTTTTTTTTAATTTTATTTATTTATTTATTTGAGAGAGAGAAAATGAGAGACAGAGAGCATGAGAGGGAGGAGGGTCAGAGGGAGAAGCAGACTCCCCACTGATGGCGGGACTCGATCCTGGGACTCCAGAATCATGACCTGAGCCGAAGGCAGTCGCTTAACCAACTGAGCCACCCAGGCACCCAACATTTATTCTTTTCGTTGTGCAGTAGTGTTCTGATCATTGTAACTTTAAAAATACAATGTAATATCTCATAAAAGAAGTACTGTTCTTTACTTTTTTATTGTTGCTTTTTCTTTAAAAATTATCTTTGGAATCATTCTGTCAAAATCCAAAATTTCCTGTAGGATTTTATAAGAACTACAATGAATTGACATCTTCATGCTACTCCGCATTCTCATTTAGGAACATCATAGATTTCTTTGTAAAGTATTATATGGTTTTCTTAAAATAGAAAACTTTCATTTATTTCTTACAAGGCTATTCCTAGATTTATACTAAAATTTCCTAAATTTATACCTTTATTGGAAAGAGGTGTCTTCCTTTCCTATACTTTCTAGTTGGTTACTGCCAGCATAGAGAAAAACTACTGCGGGGCACCTAGATTGTGCAGTTGGTTAAGCCTCCAACTCTTGGTTTTGGCTCAGGTCGTGATCTTAGGGTCATGAAATCAAGCCCCATGTTGGGCTCCATGCTCAGCGGGGAATCTGCTTAGGACTCTCTCTCCTTTGCTCGTGCCCTCCCCCCCAACCATGCTCTCTCACACGCTCTCTAAAATAAATAAGTCTTTAAAAAAAAAGAAAGAAAAACTATTAATATGCATGTATTTATTTTTTATTTGGCTAAACTAAGCTGTTACAAGTTCTAATACTTTTCAATTGGTTTTTGTTAATTATCTAGACAATCACTGGAAATAACTGAATAGTTAACATCTCTTGACAATCTATGAGAAACAAAGTAGTTAGGACTGTGATTCAAGCTCTGCCTATCCCTGAGTCTCCCTTATCCCCATTCACATACACCTGCAAGGTTCTGCATTAACATCTCCTACATCTTATAATAGAGGGATCACATTTCCTACATTGCTATACATATGACACCATAAACTAAGCACAGCTGTAACTTTAGTTTTATGAATTTGATTTTGTTCTCATTTCATTTTCAATTTTAGTTTCATTTGATTTCATTTCAAATTTGCTTTCATTCAATCAACAAATATATATATTAAAAACCTATTTGATAGAAGTATTTTATGTTCCTAGATACAGAAGCAAATTCAGAAAAAGGATGCTTTGACACAAATATCTTTTCCTTCAC